TCCCTCCATACATATTCACAATGGCCTCCCGAAGCTTCTCCAAATCTGTGCGCTCGCCTCTAGCCCGTCAATTGGCCACTCCTCAGATCCAGCAGCGCACCTTCATCGCCGCCCGCAATCTCGTGCGCGCTGGTGCCGTTGCTGCTCGCCCTGCTGCCATTGCCGGCCGCGCCCAGCAGCAGGTCCGTGGTGTCAAGACCATTGACTTTGCTGGCGAGAAGGAGGACGTTTACGGTAAGAATGAATTGTCCCTTCCATTACCATCTTCTCCCTTCTTGTAGACTCTCATCTCAATCGAATTTTTTTTCCTTATCCGTTCTTTCCCTTGCTGACCGCCATACCTACCTACAGAGCGTGCCGACTGGCCTCAGGAAAAGCTCCTTGTGAGTCACCCCAGAAAAAAAAATCTCCTTCCCTCCATCTCTGGATAGAGGCAGGCGAAGAGGAAGAGAGGAAGGAAAAGCAGATGGCTAATCTGTTCAAACAGGACTACTTCAAGAACGACACTCTTGCCCTCATCGGCTACGGCTCCCAGGGTCACGGCCAGGGTCTTAACCTGCGCGACAACGGCCTCAACGTCATTGTCGGTGTCCGCAAGGAAGGCAAGTCGTGGAACGACGCTATCCAGGATGGCTGGGTTCCCGGAAAGAACCTCTTTGAAGTCGACGAGGCCATTGGCCGCGGTACCATTGTCATGAACCTGCTCTCTGATGCCGCCCAGTCCGAGACCTGGCCCGCCATCAAGCCCCAGCTCACCAAGGGCAAGGTACGTTTCTTCCATCTTCCCTCATACACTCCTACCCTCTTTTTTTACGAGTCACCGACCTTGGGGACGATTCTCCATCTCGTCCATTGAAACTGCCTATGCTTTTTTCCCCCTTCCTTTTACCCCTTCTGGCCTCTAACAAGCTCTACGCATGTATTCAGACTCTGTACTTTTCCCACGGCTTCTCGCCCGTCTTCAAGGACATCACCAAGGTCGAGGTCCCCACCGACATTGATGTCATCCTCTGCGCCCCCAAGGGTTCCGGCCGCACCGTCCGCTCCCTGTTCCGCGAGGGCCGTGGCATCAACTCGTCCTTCGCCGTCTTCCAGGACGTTACCGGCCTCGCCAAGGAGAAGGCCATCGCCCTGGGCGTCGCCATCGGCTCCGGCTACCTGTACGAGACCACCTTTGAGAAGGAGGTCTACTCCGACCTCTACGGCGAGCGCGGCTGCCTGATGGGCGGCATTCACGGCATGTTCCTGGCCCAGTACCAGGTCCTCCGTGAGCAGGGCCACTCGCCCAGCGAGGCCTTCAACGAGACCGTCGAGGAGGCCACCCAATCCCTGTACCCCCTCATCGGTGCCAACGGCATGGACTGGATGTTCGAGGCCTGCTCCACCACGGCCCGCCGCGGCGCCATCGACTGGACCCCTCGCTTCCGCGACGCTCTCAAGCCCGTCTTCGACGACCTGTACAAGTCCGTCAAGGATGGAACCGAGACCAAGCGCTCGCTCGAGTACAACGGCCAGAAGGACTACCGCGCAAAGTTCGAGTCCGAGATGGAGGAGATCCGTGGCCTTGAGATCTGGCGTGCCGGTAAGGCCGTCCGCTCTCTTCGCCCCGAGAACCAAAAATAAGCAGCTCGTTCGCTCGCTCGCTCTCTCTCTCCCTCTCGCACATGTCAACCTAGCATGTGTGCGTGAGTGATTGATGTATATGGGGAAACCGGAAAAAAAAAAGGGGGGACCTGAGATGTGTGTATTTACAACTTAGGATTTCATAGGGAGGTTTATTTTTTTTATCGTCTTGGTGCTTATTTCAAAGCTACTCTCTTCTGCTACAAGTACCCTTTTCTTAAAACCTCAGTATAGGGACCAAGAATTTATAAATAAATAAAAAAATCACTGTGCTATATTATCAATGCAGCACCTTTTTTCTTCAATCCCGTCGTGCTTGTATATGTTGGAACCGGCCATGGACCCCGTGCGTATCCTCCTAAGTGTATATGACTACTAGACCTTAGATACCGGACGCCGATATTCGGCACCCGAAGAGAGCTATTTTGCCGCAACGGGTAGGAGCGAGTGAACGCATGCGCCTTCCCCGCCTTCGACATCGAGGAACCCCAAAGTGGGACGGAGACCCTTCTTCTCTCCCTCTCCCTTTTCTGAGTTTGTAAAGGTTGAAGGCCTTGTGTTCGTCATTGTTCCCTTTGCGTACAACCATCATATACATCACATCTTGTTTCTTCCTGTCATTCTCAGAACAGGACAAGACACATCAGCGGGGTGTGTGGGGTCAAAGGAGGAACAGGGAAGGGAGAGGAAAGGATGGCCGACATATCTACATGCAGCGCGCTGACACGGTCATCGGTGGTAGAGGCCCACGACATAGTGAAGCCGCACGTCCACCGGACCCCCGTGCTGACGAACCGCACCCTGACGGAGCTGGCGTCCACGCCCCGGACGGAGTCAGACCTCAAGGGAACGCGATGGGAGGGCCGCACGCCTGCCCGGCCCGTGCTGCGTCTGTGGTTCAAGTGCGAGAACATGCAGCGCATCGGGGCGTTCAAGGTGCGCGGGGCATTTCATGCCGTGGAGAAGCTCAAGAAGGAGCCCGGGTGGCTTGAGGGCGGCGGTAAAGAGAAGGGTGTTGTGACGCACAGTTCTGGTACTTCCTTCTTCTCCCCCTCCACTATCCCCGCTTGGTCATCCTTTCTTCCTCTCCCTCCTCTCTCTCCTCTCTCTATATATCCACCATCTGATCTACACGGATGTGCATGCAGCTGTCACTGACGTATATACAAGGTAATCACGCACAAGCTCTTGCCCTGGCAGCCAGCGAGAGCGGAATCAAAGCCCACATCGTCATGCCCGACATCTCCCCGGCCCTCAAGGTCAACGCCACTCGCGGGTATGGCGCAAACGTCATCTTCAGCGGGAGCACCAGCGTGGAGCGCGAGGCCGTGGCGGACCGCGTCATCGCCGAGACGGGCGCCCGCCTCGTGCCTCCCTACGACCACCCTGATATCATGCTGGGACAGGGGACGCTGGGTCTGGAGCTCCAGCAGCAGGTGGCCGACATGATGGCAGCGGAATCCGGGTCGGCGGGGGGGATCAGCGGTCTGGAGAGGGCACCCACCACCAGGTCTTCCAAAGGCGATGGTGGGCTTGATGCCATCATCGCCCCCTGCGGCGGCGGCGGCATGCTCTCGGGGGTGGCGCTCTCCTGCGAAGGCACGGGTATCCGTGTGTACGGTGCTGAGCCGTCGTTTCAGGGCGCCGACGATGCCAAGCGCGGGTATGAGTCCGGGTCCCGCATTGAGGCCGTCTCCACGCTCACCGTTGCCGACGGGCTGCGCACCCCCGTCGGCGTGCACCCCTGGGGCGTCATATACGAGCGCCGTCTGGTGTCGGGCTTCTACAGCGTCACCGAGGACGAGATCAAGGCTGCTATGCGGCTTGTGCTCGAGCGGTTCAAGCTCGTCGTCGAGCCTAGTGGGTGTGTTCCCCTAGCTGTGGCGCTGTTCGACGAGGACTTTCGTGCCATGGTGGAGAAGGAGGCTGGACCGGAGGGTTGGGATCTTGGTCTCGTCTTTAGTGGTGGCAATGTTGGTGCCGAGACGGTTGGTAAGTTGTTTGCGTAGAAGACAGCTTTGCAAGTGAAGGGGGGGTGGGGGGGTTGGACGTGTCATCTATATCATATGGATCTATTATCACTGATGGGTTCTAAGTCGTATTCTAAAATGATGCTGCGTACGGAGTATACTCTCTATCATGCGTGCGTGTGTATATAGCTGTATCCAAAGGCATTTCCTTCGTTTCTTTCGTCGTTCCGTCAGTCCTCTCTGACACTTAACTCTGTTGCCCCTGATCCTGCAATATCTTGTCCATATCGATCCTCCACCTCGTAGCATTCTTCCTAAGAGCAAGGATGCCGGAGAAGCCAACGACGATGCAGGCGAGTCCCACAGTGGTGAGGACCCATCCGGTGCCGACGGCGTCAATCCACTCACTGGTGACGACGACAGCGATGGCGCTGAGGATGTTCCGGACAAAGTTATTGACGGCGACACCGGCGGAGCTTTTCTTTCGTACGAACTCGGTGAGCATTGTTGTGACGGAGGACTTTGATTTGCAGTTAGCATTTTTTTTTTTTTTTTGGGGGGGGGGGGGTTCGGTTCGTATTGAAAAAAAGAGAAAAAATTCTGGCTCTTTCTTTTCTTTTCTCTCTCTCTCTCTGGACGAGTCGACAAGGAGGGAGGGGAGCAACATACAAAGACCAACATGGAGGCAACCCCGAAAAAGTAGAGGGCGATGGAAGGTACGATCCAGTGGACGCCGTAGTGCAGGGTCCAGCCGAAGACGATGAGGGCGGCCGGGTAGACGATGTTTGCGATCCAGAGGTTCTCCCTCATGCGGTCCTCGGGGAGGAGGATGAGCTTCCCGTTGACGTCGTAGCGGTTTGCCTTCCTAGCCTCCCTGGCCATGATTTTGTCGATCCACCTGCCGCCGAAGAGGGAGGCGGTGATGTAGCCTAGGCCGGGAGGGGCGTAGAGGAGGCCGACGATGATCTGGTTGAAGCTGTAGGGGGGCAGGTCGTAGGTGTGCTGGAGGGTGATGTTGGAGACGTAGAGGGATCCGAAGGCGATGGCTCCGATGATGACGGTCAGGGCGACGGGCGGGAACCTGAGGAACAGGAGGACGCTGAGGGGGTCGACGAGGAAGTTCTTGGCCACGGAGGCGAGCCTCCTGGTCTTTTCCCTGGCAGATCCCGCCGTCACCGTCCTCGACAGGCTGCTGTCGGCCACGGGTTCTCCAACCTGCTGCTGCCCCGGCTGCTGCCCCCTCTGCCCCTGCGGCTGCGTAGATGACGATTTGCCGTGACCGTTGGGGGCGGAGACGGTCTCGGGGAGGAAGCAGGTCAGGACGATGATGCAGCAGAAGCCGTAGATGGCCAGGAACCACATGGTCGCCTGCCAGCCCAGCTCCTCGGACAGGACGCCGCCGATGATGGGGGCGATGAGCGGTCCCAGCAGCGGTCCGAGGTAGAAGAAGCTCATGGCGCGGCCGCGCTCGTACGACTCCCAGATGTCGGCGATGGTCCCGGCCCCGACGGCCTGGACGCTGGCCGACGTGGCGCCGCTGCAGGTCCGGAACACGATGAGCATGGTCATGTTGGTGCTCACGGCGCACAGCACCGAGAAGACGAAGAAGAGGGAGAAGGACGTCAGGTAGATTGTCCGCCGACCCAGCTTCTCCGAGAAGGACGACCACCACAGAGGGAAGATGGCCATGGCCAGCATGTACAGCGCCACCGAGAGGTTGGTGACCGTCTTGTTGACGTCGAATGCCTCGGATAGCTGGTTGAGGGCAGCTGTATGGTTGAGTCAACGCCTGCACATGTATACGCGCGCACGCATATATATATACATATATATATAGAGAGAGAGAGAGGGAGGGAGGGAGGGAGGGAGAGAAATGGTAATAAAAATAAAAATAAAAAGGGGGGGGGACTCACGATAGAAGATTGATGACCCCATGGGTGCACCGGCCGAGGCAAACGACACGGCAGCTGTTATAGCCCACTTGGTCGAGTTGCGGTAGTCGTACGGCCTCTCGACCTCGGGGATGACGCTGAACCGTCCCAGGAGTCCCCTCCTCTTGGACCTGGGCACGACGACGACGGTTCTCGACCGCGTGGACGAAGCGGCTCGCGATCTGGTCCGGCAGGGGGGGCAGTCGGCCTCGCATGCGTACAGGCCCTCGCCGGAGGGTTCGCCCACCGTCGCGGCGGGGACGAGGTCGTTGCGATGCTGCGACGACGAGCCATCTTTGTCGTCGTCGTCGTCGTCATCATCGTCGATACCCCCGTCGCTGTCTCGGCCGTCCCGTCTCCCACCTCCGTAGCAGCCCTTTTCGATATCGCGAGTTCGGACATGCTCGTGGTGTTTATCGCCGGAGTTGGAGTTGGAACTGGAGCTGGAACCAGCCGAGGAAGGGCGGCGCCGCTCCTCCTTCTCCTCCTTCTCTTCATCCTCATCTCGGTTTATAGAGGTAGGCTGGGCATCTTTGCCCTTTTCCAGATCAACGTCATCAACCATCATGGTCTCTCTCTCTCTCCCTCTCTCTCTCTCTCTCTTTCTCTCTCTCTCTCTCTCTCTCTCTTTCTCTCTCTCTTTCTCTCTCTCTTTCTCTCTCTCTTTCTCTCTCTCTTTNTCTCTCTCTCTTTCTCTCTCTCTTTCTCTCTCTCTTTCTCTCTCTTTCTTTTTCGTTCTTTCTTTCTCTGGTTTATTGTCAACTTTGTACTCAGTGACAGAGTGGGTATTGACCCTTGGGTTGAGTGATGACGAGGGAATGTATGAGCATGGGATTCTCTAAAGATTTTTCAAGTATATAAAATGATCGGGGGCCCAAAGAATATCACGAAAAAAAAAAAGACGGTGTGAAGATGCTCTTTTTTTTTTGGGCGACGATAAGAAGGAATTCGTCAAGTTAGGTCGATAATGCTGAAGAAAGAAAAAAAATTGGAGAGGAAAATCTAGGATTCAATGGAGTTGTGATAGCAGGGGGGGAGGGAGGGGAGGGGCAGCAGTTTCTTTTCGCCCATCAATCCTGACTGGTTATCAGACCGGGTAAATAGTAAAAGAAACAAGATGCCAAAGCCAGAAATGAGAGAGAGAGAGGGGCCAGTTAAGAGATGGAAAATATCGTATTGAAGTTGACGGGTTCAAGTACAAGACTTAGAATAATACTACTCTGTCATGCACAATACTGCAGTCTTGACTCTTCTCCACTAGTCAATCCGGTTAAGACGGCATGCCGCCCAAGGGGGGCGAGGGGGGGGGGAGGAGAGGTGAGAAGAGACAGAGAGAGAGAGAGAGCGCAACCAACGGGTCTACTTGTGTGCTCTTCTGCTTTTGACACATTCAATTGGACTGACTGTTTTGGATGTTTGCTAGACCGGAACTTTGAACCATGGCATCGTCTTGTGTTGGGTGTTGGAACCCGATCGTCGGACTTGGCCCGTCATAATTACTGTACGGGTTATTTGTGTCTCTCGTGTCGTCGATCAGCAGGCGCCCTTGGTTCGGTGCCGAGATTACGGTGCCGAAGAAATGGGAGTGGAGGGGCCGTGTACCTCGGCAACCTCTTATAACGGGGGAGAGGGAGGGAGTTGTCCGATGTGTTGATGTGTCGATGTACTACTGTCCACTTCACAGGGTGACTACTAGCCCAATAATATTCAACAAAGATGAGGAAATGTCATCATGTATGAAATACGGAAGGGAGAGGAAAGAGAAGAATGGGAAAGGAAATAATATGGTTCATGTTTCAAAAACATACATAGAAAAGACAAAAAAAGTGTCAGGTCGACAGAAAAAAGAAAAACTCCTCCGGACAGGATCGAACTGTCGATCTTCCGATTGCGCAGGTGCTAACAGTCGGACGCCTTAGCCAGCTGGGCCACGGAGGACGTGGTTGTTAGGGAGGTGAATCCCTAGCTGACTTGTGTTGGTGGTGAACAATCCTGCCCTATAAAGCTAATATTTACATTGGGGCATCTTACTTCACAGACGGTACTATCTTGAGAGCCTCATCGCCTCGGTCCTCTCTCTGGCTCTCTTGGAGGAGCGTGATCTTTTCCTTGACTGGTTGGCAAGCTACCTCCAGAGTATACGGGCCCAAATTCGGTCCCCGGGACGTTGCCGGTGCAAAGCCAGATGTCGATTGTGTCCGTGAACCATGGACGCAACTGAGCAGATGATGAGACTTTTCTCTATCGATTACTGTAGACTCATCACTATGGGGAAGCAGTTTATTTCTGGTGAGGTGATCTCAGGTGGATATCAGGCCTGAATCGGTAAATCCTTTACGAAAGGAAGAAGAGAAGAGAGAGAGAGAGAGAGAGAAGAACTCGGGCGGCATCGTAGCTGCCTCCGTGTGGATGGGTAATGTGATCACGCGGAAAGGCGAATCGAGAGATGCTGATAGGTAAAAGCTATGTGAGCCGATGCAAAAGCGTCGATCCCCTGCACTATGTCGACGATAGTCCGACTGATTAGGTCAATCAATGTTCTGATGCGAGTGCAGCCTTGACGTCTAGTAGACAGCTAGGGATCTGACAATTGCATGCATATACGTGTGTAATCTGTACACCTCCATGACCCTTACCCCGGGCGGTATTACTTGGCACGAGAGGTGCTCCCGGAGGTGGGAAAACCGTGCCTCAGGCATAAGTTTCCAGGTTTCAGGACTACGACACACGCGCTTACCCTATATATATATATATATATATATTTTCTTTTTTTGAAAGAGAGAATGAGGGACAGAGAATATCCTACTACCTGTGCCGAGTACCAATACTCTCTTTATTCTCCTCTTCTCTTATCGGATGCGGCCAAACAAACCCGATTCTTATTGAAAAAGTCCATTAATTGTCTTAGGGGGGAAAAAAGAAACCAAACACGAAAAAAGAAGAACCGAAGCAGAAAAAAAAAAAAGGAAGAAAAGAAGAAAGAAGAAAAAAACGCACGCACACACACGATACCTCAAAAGCGAATCAAGGAAAAGGAAGAAAAAAAAAGGATAGTAACGGAAAGAAACAAGATAAAAAGACGGGAGAGAAAAGAAAGATGTCGCTGACAGCCGCGTCCCCCGAAGAGGCCGCCTCGTCAGCCAAGACAGCCTCCTTCTCCCTGGCCACCCTGACCGTTGAGGAGCGCAACACGGCCCTGTTGGCCATCCACGACGCCCTCTCCTCCGCAAAGGACGACATCCTCGCCGCCAACGCCCGGGATCTCGAGGCGGCCAGGAAGGCGGCGGCAGACGGTCATCTGAGCCAGTCTCTCGTGTCCAGGCTTGATCTCGGCAAGAAGGGAAAGTTTGAGGATATGCTCAAGGGGATTCTCGATGTTCGGAATCTTCCTGATCCTAGTATGTTCTTCTCTCTCTCTCTCTCTCTCTTCATGTTCCTATCTCCATCTCTCTCTCTCTGATATATATATATACGCGTGTGTGTGTGTGTGTGTGGGTGGGTGGGTGTATATATATATATATATATATATATATACAACAGAAGAAAAACAAAAGAGTCAAAAGTAAAAAAGAAAGAAAGAGAGAGAGAGAAAAAAAAGGCTGACGACAGGAAACACAGTCGGTCAGATCCAGCTGCGCAGAAAATTGGCAAAAGACCTGATTATGGAGCGAGTATCGTGCCCCATCGGCGTGCTGCTCATCATCTTCGAGGCCCGTCCGGAGGTCATCGCCAACATTGCCAGCCTGGCCATCAAGTCCGGCAACGCGGCCATCCTCAAGGGCGGCAAGGAGTCGACCGAGTCCTTCGTGGCCGTCTCGCGCGTCATCTCGGCGGCCCTGGAGCCGACGGCGGTGCCCAACGCGGCCATCCAGCTGGTGACGGCGCGCGACGTCGTCGCCAGCCTCCTCTCCCAGGACCGCCACATCGACCTCGTCATCCCGCGCGGCGGCAACGACCTGGTCCGCTACGTCAAGGGGGCCACCAAGATCCCCGTCCTCGGCCACGCCGACGGCCTCTGCTCCGCCTACCTGGCCTCCTCGGCCGACCCGGCCGGTTCGGCCGTCGCCGTCGTCGACTCCAAGACCAGCTACCCGGCCGCCTGCAACAGCCTGGAGACCCTGCTCGTCCAGGACGCGGCCCTGGCCTCGGTCCTCCCCGTCGTGGCCCGCGCCCTGCTGGCCAAGGGCGTCACCCTCCGCTGCGATCCACCCTCAAAGGCTGCCATACTCTCCTCCTCCCCTTCGGCTGAAGGCGGCAACGACCACGTCGACGTCGATGGACTGATCCTCGACTCAACCCCGGAAGACTACGACACCGAACACCTCTCCCTCACGCTGGCCGTCAAGACCGTGTCCTCCCTCTCCGACGCCATCGCCCACATCAACACCCACGGATCCCACCACACCGACGCCATCTTCACATCCGACCGCGCCGAGGCCGAGCGCTTCATGAGTGAGGTCGACTCCGCAGGCACGTACTGGAACGCCTCCACACGACTCGCCGACGGTATGCGGTACGGCTTCGGCACAGAAGTCGGCATCAGCACCAACAAAATTCACTCTAGGGGTCCCGTCGGTCTCGACGGCCTGACCATCTACAAGTATAAGATTCGGGGTGATTACCAGCCTACCACTGGTTACGGCACCGGTGAGGGGCAGATTCCTTGGACTCATGAGACGCTGCCTCTGTGATATGATGTATTGCATAAAAAAAAGGGGGGGTATGGGAGGGAGTATGATGTTATCGAAAAGAGTACCAAGGTGCCCCCACCCTCCTTTTCTTTTGATAGGAAAGGGAGTGTGAATGAGAGAGAAGAAAAAATCGAGAGAGTCGTCTTGTTTGTTAACCACGACTCAATAATCTTGGTACGATATCTACATTCTACCTTGAACATCGGGGTCAGAGTAATAAAACTTGTCTTGATATCATTCATCAACACTCCAAAAAAAAAACACATAAGACATGACAATGCCATTTTTCACCCTCTTCATATTCCCCATTACATAATTGCCCTAGGACTTTTTTTTTTCTCTTCTTTTTTTCCCTTCTGTTTAGTTCTTTTGTTCGTTCTTCTTATCTGTACAGTAGATGTATTATTCCATGTTATACTGCTCAATGAGCTTGGCCAGCCTGTCACCCTCTGACTTGTAGTCCACAGCTGATACCGACAATACTTGATAACGGATTCTATTTTGTTTATTTTTGTCAGTTCGGTTTTCTAATAACGCAAGAGTGGTAGAGTAGAGAAGAGACAGGAGAACAGAGAGAGAGAGAGAGAGAGAGAGGAAAAGGAGAAGGGGGGGGAGGGGGGGGGAAGGAGGAGAGGAGACATACTTCGGCGTGTTGCCGTACGTGTCCATCCTGGCCCTGCATCGGAAATTGAACTTTTGGAGAGTGGCAGCCTCAAAGGCAGACTGGAAGGCGGCATCGTCCGACTCGCGCATCTCCATGAGCTCGTTTGCAGGGACGCCCATGACGACACGCGCGGCCTCGTCGAAGCAGGTGAGCCACATGTGATTCGTGAAATCGGCGACGTTGATGGACAGGATGTAGCGGTGGTTGGGCTTCTCATGGGCAATATTGCACTTCTCGCACTGCCAGGTGCCGTCGCCCAGCTCCGTCACCTTCTTGTTGTTGCAGCCCTGCGAGGGGCAGGCCGGGTATGAGAAGCTATCCTGCTTGGTGAAGACATTGGTAGCTATGATGGTGAAGTAGGCCTGCTCGTCGTGTCCGAGGTTGTCGTCCTTGACCTTGCGGATCGTCGTGATCTCGTCCTTGCGGCCGGTGGCGCCCGCCATGCTGGCCGAGTTCTGGTGCGTGGCAAAGTTGTCCCCGCGGCCCGCAGAGTCGTACCAACCCTTCAGCCGGTGCGCGTCGGGGATGTCCGGGTCCACCGACATGGTGCCCGACGACAGGAGGCTCAGGCTCTTGCCGCCGAAATCTGACACCTTGGTGCCCTTGAAGGCCACGACCGACTCAGGGTTGGCATCAAAGCTCGTGGCCGTCTTGCCCCACACCGTCACGCGCACCGAGAAGCCCGTGTCGTCCACCACCGTCAGCTCGCGCTTCTGGAAGGGCCGGCCGTCCTTCTTGGAGATGATCTCCGACACCTCGCCGGCGTCCTTGAGCACGCCAATCACGTCGACCGTGCTGTCCTTCTCGACACTCTGCAGCTCCTGGATGGTGCAGAAGTTGAAGCGCATCTGCGGCACGCTCGACTGGTCGTCGGCCTTCTCGATGACCGTGTCACGCTCGAACGTGAGCTCGTAGTCGTTGGGCAAGTTGGTGAACTGTTTCTTGGCCAGGGCCACCTTGCACGGTGTCGAGATGTAGTAGACGGAACCTTCCTGGAGCAGGTCGTAGAAGGCGTCGCACTGATCGTTGAAGCCCGTCGCCTTGATCTCGCCGCTCTCGTCCAGCAGGTTGACGCTGAAAAGCTTGCCCTCGCTGTTGGCTTTTTGCCACCTCTTGATGTCCGACTTGAGCGTCACCCGCGCCTTGATGGTCCACTTGTGCGTGAAGAAGGACAGGGCCTCGATTGGGTGTATCGTCGACCCCGCATGCGTGACTGTCTTGGCGGCCGGCACCGCCGACGGCTTGCTCTGTGTCGGTTCCTCCTTCTTGGCACCGTAAAAGTCGTTACCGGCAATCGCGTTGCCGCTGTTATTGTTGTTGTTGTTGTTGTTGTTGTCTCCGGCGGCCTGCCCGGCGACCTGCCCGGCGGGAGCGGCATCCATGCTGACGGGCTCGCCAATCTTGTCAAGGACCCCGTAGTCTTCGATGACCTCGAGATCGAGGATGATGAGGATGCTGTGCAGATGTCTGCCGTCAGCCACGTGCAGGACTTGGGGTCTCCGTATCAGAGGGGACGGTACTCACCTCCTTCCCTTCAGGTTGTTGGGCTGGTACTGCTTGACGCGGGCAAAAGATCCACGCACGAGCTTGCCATCGTGGATGACCTGATTGGCCTTGGTGGCCAGCATGGACTGGACATAGTGCTCTCCGTCGCTGATGACGAGACGCCACCTGTCGCCGGCTTGGGCAGAGGGAGCCATCTGTTTGACCTGAAGGCATTGCAGGACGGGAACGGGGAACATCTTCTCGGCCTTTTCCGGGTCGTTGAAGATGGCGCTGTACACAGAGAGAGTGATGAGTTGACTGATCAGCAAAGGGGGGCAAACAAGGTTGGGCTCACTCTAGCGCACCGCGCGACAGAGCAGCGGATGCAGCTTCCATTGTGGCTAGAGGTTACGTCGTCGTCGCTGTCCGTCTACAAGGACGTCTGTCTATATGCTTGGCTTGGCAGGTAGAATGGAGAAGGAAGACGGATGTGTGCACGCCCAGGTGTTTGTTTATGGATGTGGTGTAAGCTTCTCGTAGGGAAGAAGTCGGGTAGGAAAGTAGCAGTGCTTCACGGTTCGTCGATACTCGACGCGTACCGCGTTTAGTGTATTTCTGGGTTAAGGGAGGAGGGGGGAGAGGGGTTGGTTTGATTATGTAATCCGCGTTGTAAGAGTAGTAGTAGTACTGATAAAGAGATAAGATAATGATAAGATAATGATATGCTGTTGAGAGCAACGGCCAACATGGCCTTGAGATGCATCTATATGTACTTGTATGACTGACTGATGTTTTTCTTTACTTTTTTTTTCTCTTCATCTCTTCATTCGTCTATGTATGTGTAATAATCATGATGATCATTGAAAAGGGGGTCTGTATCTTCTCTCTTGCGGATGCTGGGCAAAAAGGCGCATTACAAGCTGACGACAGTTGAAACCAACGTTTCTCAATGTGGGGGATTAGTGCACTGCCCCTCAGCCCATCAACTGTTGACGCATTCTCGTCATACCAATCGTTTTACATTTTACCAGTAGCAGCGTAGTACGTAATAATTGCCGTTGAGATTCCCATACGGATACAAAAACAGAATAAATAAAAACAAAATAAAGGATTCGCGACCGGTCACAACGTCAGACGTCTTCCCTTCCAACGTTTCTCCAATCCGTATAATACCACACACGTCGCCGCAGCAGAGCTCGCAGCCATGAGTGACGCTTCCCTCGACAGAGACGCAGTGGTGGCGATCGCGGGCGGTGGCGACGGTCCGGGGACCTCGCCCCGCGCCGATGATGCAGCGCCAGCTCAACACCACGAGGCCGAGATAACGACGGCGCTGCCACCGGGCGCGCACTGCGTGACCGACAGGCCTACTCGTGAGTACTACATGCGACAGTGACCGGACGAGTTGGGTGTGCCATGTACATAGGTCGCTAACCAAGCATGCGAAAACAGCCGTCGGACAGGCATCCACAGGCGAAGTCATCAAGCTCGACGGCATTGACGCACGTCTCTCTCTCCCTCCCTCCCTCTCTCTCTCTCTCCCTCTCTCCTGACCCGACCTCTAGAGAACGCGCACGCATGAAATGCTGACACCTAGGCTCCCACCCCCTTCTTCCAGGTCTACGTCTCCAAGCCAGCCGACTACCCTCACACGCGGTCGCGACTCCTCCTCCTCCTCACGGGCGGCACGGGCATCAAGTCGGTCAACAACCAGATCCAGGCGGACAGGTACGCGAGCGAGGGCTTCCTGGTCCTGATGCCCGACATGTTTGCGGGGGACGACGCGCCGGGAGCTACGGCCATAACGGACGACTCGACCTCGATACTGGAGCAGATCAAGCTCAAGGCCGCCGAGATGGCCAAGTCGTTCGTCATCGATATGTGGCTGGCCCGCGTGACGCCCGACCGTGTCATGCCGATCCTGCGCAGGGTCATCGAGGCCGCGCACGACCAGTACGGCGACGCCGTGCGCAACGGCGACGGCATCTACGCCGTGGGGTACTGCGTCGGCGGACGCTTCGTCATTCTCCTGGCCAGGGAGACGGCTCCGACCGCCGCTGCTGCGGCTGCTTCTGCTGCTGCTGCTGCTGGTGACGGCGGTGATCAGGAGAGTGCCAAGCCCAAGACCGAGGGTCCATATATCAGGGCCGGCGCCATCGCCCACGCTGCCTCCGTTGCGCCCGAGGACTTTACCGACGTCAAGGTGCCGCTGAGCTTTGCCTGCGTCGAGGACGACCCGCTCTTCCCCGATGCCGTACGCATCCACGGAGAGGACCTCATGGCGGAATACGACTTGGAGCACGAGGTTCACGTATACCCCGGTGTGCCGCACGGTAATTCAGTCCAGTCCCCTGATTCAGATACGTCACCAGCGCTCCCGCTAACACGATGCCAGGGTTTGCCGTCGTGGGCGAATACACAGACTCTGCGATCCGGTCCGCGCAGGCAACGGCGTACGAGCAGATGCTAAGATGGGTGCAAACGCATTGAAGCGCAAGCGCGGATCCAATTGCTCTCCGTCACGTCTGCCTCCCTCTAAAATGCACGAGAATACCGCGCACGACCGTAGAGAGTACATAACGATTATGAAGAAGAAGAACATTGACTTGTATAAAAAAAAAACCCTTTTTTTTAAAGTAGGGGGGGGGGGGGCAGATTCAATAAATAAATTGAAAAAAAAAAAAAGTAGAGAAACTATGAGAAACTACCGTGACTTTGTTCTCGATTACATCCATCTCTACGGAACGGTGCAGACGATCTTGCCCGAGTTGCTATTGGCCTCCATGTACCTATGAGCATCCTGTATGCGATCCCACGGGAAGACGGAGTCGACCACGACGCTGAGGTCCCCGCTCTCAAAGGCAGGCAGGTACCCCTCTAGGCGGTCCCTCAGCCTGCCCTGGTAGTCCTCGTCGCGGCTGCGCAGGGTGCTCCCCTCGATGCGGATACGCTTGAGCAGGATGGGGGCGATGTCGACGTCCGGGATCTGCGCGCCGCCCATGAAGCCGAGGAGGACGATGCGGGCGTCCCGCGCGGCCACGTCGAGGTTCTGCTGAAAGTAGGAGCCACCGACGAAGTCGACGATGTAGTCGACGCCGCCGTGGGAGGCGGCCAGCTCGGCCACGGCGGGGGCCCACACCCCGCCGCGGGACTTGTAGTTGACGGCGGCGGTGGCGCCCATCTCCTCGGTGACGAAGCGGCACTTCTCGTCGGAGCCGGCGGTGGCGTAGACGGCCGAGGCGCCGGCCAGGCGGGACAGCTGGATGCCGGCGACGGACACGCCCGACGCGGCGGCGTGCCAGAGTATGGACCGCCCCCTCTCGAAGCCCAGGACCAGGTGCAGGGCCTGGGTGGCGGTGATCCAGGCCTCGGGGATGGCGGCGCACTGCTCGTGCGTCAGGCCCGCCGGCTTCCGGAGCAGCATCTTGGCGCTCACGGAGATGTACTCTGCGTAGGCGCCGCCGTAGGCGAGGCCGAAGACCTCGTCGCCGGGACGGAAGTCGTGACGGCGGTGTCTATCGTCGTCGCCGTCGCCGTCGCCGTCGTCACCGGAGCCGGAGCCGGAGCCGGAGCCGGAGCCGGAGGGGCCGCCGATCTCGACGACGACGCCGCTGAACTCTACGCCTAACGTCGTCGGCGCCTGCGGGGGGACCGGGTACTGGCCCCGACGCTGGAGGATGTCCATGCGGTTCAGGCCGAAGGCGCGCACGCGGACGAGGGCGCGGCCCGGGCCGACGGTCGGCACCGGCGTGTCGCCGTTGATGAAGAGGGCCTCTGCCTCGCCCGTGCCGCCCCGTATGTCTGCGCGTGTGGGCTTGGATGTCAGTGAAGGGTGGGGGTGTGGCTCGCGGTGGGGGACGTCATTACCGACTGCTTTCATGGTGGTCATGCTGGGCTTGGTGGCTGGCATGTTTCTGATGTCGGGTGTACTGATGTTTCTTCCTCTAAGGATACGTGTCGTGAGTCCGGGAAGCGGTTTGGAGGTGATGCGGTACCATGGGAGCTCCCGAGGATATCTCCCTCACATGTATGCGGGTTGTATGTATTATTAATAACGCAGCTGCCGAGATCTCACGGTATGATGACATCAATCATGGTAATCTGTCATCTGTACATGGGAGGATGCCCGACATTCATGCTGCCGCGAGGATACCCTGTACCCATCCGGCAGCGGTTCTGGCCACCATCACCGTTCTCACGGGACTAGAGGCGAAGTAGTGTGTGTGTGTGTGTGTGTGTGTGTGTGAAAGAGATGACTTCTCTCTGTTTTTTTTCTTCTTTTTTTTTCTCTTCTTTCTTGCATCTCGCAGAAGTACGGGGTTTCTTGTCCGACTAAGTATCGCGATATATGCGAGGTCGTGTGGTTATGCGGTAGTTGAAGGTTGCGGGTAATCCTCACCATCAATCACATACACACGCTATCTATGTACGTCATATGATGTCGACCGGCGGCGTATGCGCACCTCGACTCACATGCAAGCAAAGATCCCTTCTTCTTCCTCTCTCATCTTCTCTCTCCCCCCCCCCTCAAGTCCCAGGAGGTCTGTCCGATGCGACGATGGAGGTTGAAAATACGCGGTACGCAATCAGCATGTACAGGACAGGTATCATCGGCTGTACGAGCAGTTCTATCCCGAGGCTGACACATCATCGACCTACCGTCCAGCACCGACCGCATGGACGCAGATGTGCATACGTCTGGACCGTCAGACAGCACGGAAGCTCCACGAGTTCTGTCAGAGACGAGGCTGGCTGACCTATCTGTCCCCGTCCAAGGATCGGATCCGACTGTGGTGAGGGAAATTTGCGTGGAGTGGATGGATCGGTTGATGTCCTGTCGATACCCGTGATTACGCGTACCGGGAACCTGTACGGCGGTGGTGTCGATACCGGTTGGGGGGTACGGAGGAGTACGGAGTATGATTGCGGTTACGAGTATGATGATGTACATCAGCATCCGCAGCTGCAGATTACCACTGCTCGTATAGCATGCCCTTGGGGGATCGTCAGGGCGCCGGAACTGGCACTGCCACGGGTGCCACCCTATCTCTCTCCGGTAGTGTCGAGATCAGCGGTTTTCCGGGTCCAGCTGATGGCCACTTTTCATATATTCGAGTGGTTGATGTGTAGGGTGCAGATCCGATAGATGGGATCGAAGCTGAGACGATTTTACTCTTTTCTTCTTCTTCTTTTTTTTTCTTCCTTTTTTTTTTCTTCCTTTTTTTTTCAAAAAAAAAAATCCATTTCAAAAGTATTATTATTATTATTGTTATTATTATGATGAAATTTTCTATTATACACCTTTCTACCTTTTATATATATATATACATATGCAGATATTCTCTACTCGTATGTATTTTCTTTTCCATCCTTCTCATGATGCCCATTCTTCTACGTCTTCATCTCTCTCTCCCTCTGTCGACGAAGAGTACGGGTCGTCGATAGCGTCTTTCGCTCCGCCGTAGCTGCTATTCTAGTCTCGATGCTGTACGTGTACGTGTACCGTGTACAGGTCTGTACTGCGATACTCATAGGCTCACGATGCTGCAGGGTATTGGTGAGTATCGGTACGCGGGTATGGACAGGCGTGATGCTCGTAGCGTAGCCTACCTTGCGAGAGGATCAAGATTTGCCAGAGAGTATCATCACACGTACCGATTACATGCACGTAATATTACACCAATTTACCCAAAATAGAAGCCGTACCGGCCGGTGCAAGTCTGCGCATACGAGATTACAAGCCACACGGACCAAAGGAGCTCTTTTACCCGTAGCAGCGTCCGTAGCAGCGTCCGTAGCAGCGTCCGTAGCAGCGTCCGTAGCAGCGTCCGTAGCAGCGTCCGTAGCAGCGTCCGTAGCAGCGTCCGTAGCAGCGTCCGTAGCAGCGTCCGTAGCAGCGTCCCTAAGAGTATCCCGACGCTCTCTCTCTCTCTCTCCCCCCCTCTCTCCCCCCTCTCCCCCTCTCTCCCCCCTCTCCGGCTCTATGGACTGACGGCTTCACCGTCACGTGCTGTAACCCGTCAGCACCCGTGCGGCGCGGCACGGATCGTGATACCACCATCGCAGCGCTGGAGGGTCCCGAGAGCAGAGGTCGTCGCTGTCTTTGCGGTGGGGCCTGCTGCGCCGTGAGGTATCATATACCAGCGATAACCAACCTCGAGTGCGAGTATTCGCATGGTAGCAGCATGGTTAGTTGACATTGATACCTGCTGTGAATACGATGGTGACTCATCTACGAATCATGTACTCCGTACTGCTGCTACTATCATTACTCCTGCTATCATTACTCCTACAATCATTACTCCGCACTACTCCGTACCTGTCATCTGTAATCTGTCATCTGTACAATTACGGAGGACTACTCTTCCGTACTCTACCTACCAATACACCGGCATCATTCTACGGAGCAGAGCAGACTAAGGCCCCCCTCCCCCCCACCTCGCCATTCCAGAGGAACCCCACAGGACCTCCATATCAGGCAGCGCATGACATGAGAGGGTAGCGACAGACATGCAACGAGATTGGAGACGCGCATCGTCCCCTCTCCATCCGAGCTTTCTGGTCTGGAACCCGGTGTCCCCTGTCTCGGTCGTGGCGGGGGCATGAATAGACTCTTGCTGGCATCTGGGACATGCAATCATACGTGACCTGACTCTCACGCCACCATCATCATGACTAAAAAAAGAAGAAGGAATAAGAGGGAGAAGACGAAAAAAGAATACTGGAAAAAAAAAAGGACTGGAAAAAAAAAAAAAAGAAGAAAGCTACTGACAGATGTCAGATACGAGCTGTCCGACCCTCCGTTACGTTGTCGTTGCTGACAGGCGGGTTTATTGGAGGAGCAGAGAAAAGTGCGGAGAAGTGATTTGGAGGCAAAAAAGCAAAAAAAAAAAACAAAAAACAAAAAAAAAAAAACCAAGAACCGAAATGGCAAGGAAAATATCGGTACCTGCATCGTGATACATGCCATCACCTGCACCGCATGCAGACTGCATCAGCAGCGATATCTGCAGCGGGAAGAAGGAAACACAGAGCGCCAAGGGACCCCGATGCTTCATCTCACCACACGAGAGAGGGAAGTCTCCTTCTCCGAGGGGGGCCTTTTATTTTATTTTTTTCCTCTATTTTTTTTTATTTTTTATACAGGTTGAGGCTGGTCTTTCACGTATCCGTGCCTCCTCACTGGTCGGCCATGTACCCACGTCCTCCCATCTCTCCACCGGTTTACAGCTGCTGAGCATAAATATAGGAGATGTGCATCTACATGTGCACCCGTAATCTGTACTGCTGTGCTACTGATGATGATGATGATGACAAAGCAATAACAAAGTGATGGCAGAATAACAGCAGAATAACAGCAGAATAACAGCAGAATAATCATCATAATCATCATCATAATGCCTTCTTCGTGGTATCAACCTCTACAAGTACCGAGTAATGATACGTGCATTCTGCCGACTTTCTGCTCCTCGCATCCGGAATCTTGATTGGTCGCGTGCCTGAGCGCGTCCCCCCCCGCTAGAGAGAAGAGGGAAGGGGGGGGGGGGGCGTCAGGGGGTAAAGTGGTCCCGGTCCAATCGACGCTCCCTCTCCTCCTCTCCCTCTCCGCCTCTTCCTCTCCCCCTGGTCTTCTCTCGAAGCTCTCTGTGCGCTCTCGGCAGAAGCGCTAAAGAGGAGAGGGTCGGAGAGATGATGGATGGGGAGGGTCAGGATGGGAGGAATTCCAGGACTTCTTGTCGGGGTATAGTCGTGCGCTCACCCTGACGGATGAGTATGCAGATGACTCTGGTCCGGTCAGGATGTCGGCATCCCGACCTTTTCCATTCTCGGCACATTCTACCGACGAGGACGAGCAGTCGTCTTGGATATACGCGGTAGGAGAGTGCTCGTAAAAGTTTCTCGTATCGATACGTGCATGCGATGACGGTAATACGGCGAGTGAACCGCCACGGTATCAACTTGGTAATGATGCTAACGTGTATACATGTATACATGCATCCATCTGCGTGTATGCAATCTGCACTCGTAGCCTGCCAAGATGCGAGTGTCCGAGCATTACGAGTGATCATGCACATCTCGTATGCGATAATATCATCTGCTCGTACTCGTACGAAGCACCACCGCATTCTTGGACTGAACCTTTTGGAACAGTCCACTTCCCCTTCCATCAAGAGACTTCCCTGCCCACTCACACACACAGACACACACACACTCTCTCTCTCACTATACAGAATATCCTTACCACCCCCCCTGTCTACCAAGACCCAAATCATCTGGGCCCCCCCTCGTATAAAGCAGGGGCATCCTTCCCTCTCGAAATTAGCCTTCCCCTTCTTCTTCTTCTTCTCCTTTCTCTTCCCCTTCTTTCCTCTCAACCCACTCACGTTCGTTTAGACAGTCATATTCTCCTGACCTTATAAGTCAAGTACATTCGTTCTCTCAGCTGCCAACCCATCCTCTCGCTTTCCAAAGAAGAAATCCATCCCGTCGTCCTTCCTTATCCTTTTCAAAATCCTCTCTTCTCTTCTCTCTCAAAAAAAAAGATCCATCCTTTCAGCCGTCAAGATGAAGTACTCTGTCGCCGCCGCCCTCGCCGCCGCCGTCACCGGTGTCATGGCCTCTGGCAACGCCACCGTCGTCACCGAGGTCGTCGACGTCTACACCACCTACTGCCCTGCCGCCACCCAGATCACCCACGGCAGCAAGACCTACACCGTCACCGAGGCCACCACCCTGACCATCACCGACTGCCCCTGCACCATCACCAAGCCCGTCGTCGTCACCTCGTCTGTCGTCTGCAACGACTGGTAAGTCCCTGCCCTCCCCCTTATCCACCGGGGATACCCTCTCTCCCCCCTCCTTGGGGGGGAGGAGTAGGAGGAGGATGGATATCTTCCATAGCCGCGTATGGAATCCGAGTAGAGCCCGGAACTGACGAGACGAAAACACCCAGCAGCAGCAGCAGCATCAGCACTTCGGCCCCCGTCGTCCCCACGGCCCCCGTCGTCCCCGTCCCTTCGGTCTCCAACTCCACCGTCCCTGCCGTCCCCTTCGTCCCCGGAGGCGCCCAGCCGACCGGCGGTGTCCCCGCCGCCAGCACCACCGGTGCTAACCCCACCGGTCCCGCTCCCACGGCCGGTGCCGCCAAGGTCGCCGGTCTCTCTGGTGTTGCCGCCGTCGCCGCCGTCGCCGCCTACTTCCTGTAAATAATCATACCCATCTTTTTTGGTCACGGCCAACTCGAGACTCCCTCCCGGAGTCTCCTGTTCGACTTCTTGAGCCTTCCCGCGGAGAATTGGAAGACCGAGAGGAGACCAAACGTATAGGATCTTTCTCTTTTGTCGAACCCCTTGATTTCTCGCGCTTTATCAGAAAAAACGACGAAAAAACAATGTGGAAGCAAAAAAAAACAAACGGACCGGTGTGATGAGACATTCGCTTGTCTTCATCATCAAAGATGGATGAAACTTTTATTTACGGGATGCCTGGGGATTCTTTCAGCCCTTCTAACTGTCTCGGACCCGCCTTGAGGTCAGAGAGAGAGATGGTGCCATCGGAGTTCAGGAAGGGCACTCTCTGTGGTGTATAGGAACTTTTTCTTCTTTTTCGATTTGGATATATTCGGACACGACATAATTTCTTTAAAAAAAACCAATAACCTGGCTTTGCCGTTCACTTCACTTCTCTCTCCCCCCCTTTTCTGGATACACATCTATCACCTTTGATATCTTCAATGTATATCTACTTGGCAGATCCGAGATATGGTCCGTCTCCGTGTGCTGTGAAGGTCATCAATCGCTGCTAGACTCTAGGCTGTATCTTGTAGATTCGAAGCATCGGATCCGTGGCGGCAACTGTCCCTGTCATTTCTGTTTCGCACATTATAGTAGTAGTACCGATTCACTTGACATAGACAGGTACTGCTATGATGAGATGGAGAGCGTTTGCGTCTCCGAATCATGCCTCTGTGCTCTCTCACTCTGCACTACAACCTCTCAAGGGGGGTGGCTGCTGTATAACTCCCAGCAACATTCCAGTCGGACCAGCTGTCCCATCACGATCCGTCGTCTGCTGAAGTAACGGTGATACGTGCGGTACTACAATGGGCGCGTGTGCTTTGTACAGGTATGATAGAAAATGTATACAAGTGGGGTGGATTCCGTCTGTACGCAGCTGATACCGATATGCTGATATATGCCACACACGCTCTGAAAGAATAGACACGACTCGACACATTGAGAAAGATGTAGACACAGAATCGGTACAGCACCATTCCAGAAGACGACATGATGAGGGGGAAGAACAAAGAGGAGTGGGAATTCTCTTCTTCTTTTTTTTCTTCTAACAAGGTTTGGCATCGACCGGTTTGCTGTCATCTACGCCACCGGAGAAAAGGAAGACGGTCACTTCTGCGCCGGGGGAGAAGAAGGGGGGAGAGCGCGCGTCCGTCCGGCTTCTGCGTATGACGAGCGGTCACCAAATAAGACACTGGGATCGCAGTACGGGTACACGACCAAGAGAGCGGAATTAGATAACCGCGGCAGCAGCAAGAAAAAGAAGAAAAAAGGCGGTCACAATCACGCCTGGGCTGAGCTGTACATTATATCATCTCCCATCCTCCTCCGCCTTTTCTCCCCCGCAAAGTCCAACCACTTTCCCCCATATTACCCCACAATCTTACACTCATGACGGCATCTCCCATCTCCGGGACTTTTATTATTGTTATAATTATTAATTTTGAAAAGCTCATTCTCTTCCTATTTCCCATATATATATATATATATATTCATTCTCGCAACTGACATATATCTCCTCTTCCCTTCTCGAGGTACAGTCCGAAACCCTCCCCCAACATAGCGCAACGTCACGAAAGATTCCAAACAAGATGGTTCACCAGGACGACGTACTCCGTCACAGCCTAGAGGACCCCGAGTCCTTCTGGTCACACCAGGCAGATCACCTACACTGGCATACGAAACCCACCTCCGTCCTCACCCGCGGTACCAGGACGCTCGGCACCCCTTCCTCCTCTTCCTCCTCCTCGTCAGACGTCACCCATCCGGACTGGTCGTGGTTCCCGGGCGGTCGCATCTCGACATGCTACAACTGCGTGGACAGACACGTCCTCGCCGGACGGGGCGGCAACGTAGCCGTCTACTACGACAGCCCCGTCTCGGGATCCAAGCAGACCATCACCTACGCCCAGCTGCTCGATGAGGTCGAGGTTCTGGCCGGCGCGTTGTGGGAGCAAGGTGTGCGTAAGGGTGACGTCGTCATGATTTACAGTAAGTCCCTATCTCTTCTCTCTCTCCCCTCTCTCTCCTATCTCTATCTTATATCTCTATCTTATACCTCTATCCTCTATCATTCTTGTCCTTCCTCTGTCGTTTTCTATTCCTTGCACGACTACGTGTGTGCCAACGCGTCTGAATAACAAACCCTCCCCACCCCCCCCAAAAAAGTGCCCATGATCCCTGCTGCCATCGTAGCCATCCTATCCATCAACCGCCTGGGAGCGATCCACTCCGTCGTCTTTGGCGGCTTCGCGTCCGCCGCGCTGGCCCAGCGCATCGACGCCTGCCGGCCCGTCGCCCTCCTGACGGCCTCGTGCGGCATCGAGGGCAGCAAGCCGCCGACGCCGTACAGGCCTCTGGTCGAGGAGGCGCAGCGGCTGTCCTCCCGCCCGCCGCGCCTCACGCTCGTGTGGGAGCGCGAGCAGCGCCGCTGGGCCGGCGGGCCGGGGGGGATGAACCGGTCGCGCGGCCAGGCGTCGTGGCAGGAGGTGGTGCGCAGCGCCAGGGCGCGGGGCCTGCGTTCCGCCGCCGTGCCCGTCGCCGCCTCGGATCCGGTGTACGTCATCCACACGTCCGGCACGACGGGGACGCCCAAGGGCGTGCTGCGCGAGGCGGCCGGCCACGCCGTCGGCCTCAACCTCTCGATCGCGTACCTCTTCGGCGTCCGCGGGCCCGGGGACGTCATCTTCACCGCCTCCGACATCGGCTGGGTGGTCGGCCACTCGTACATCGTGTACGCGCCCCTGCTGGCGGGGGCGTCGACGGTGCTGTACGAGGGGAAGCCCGTCGGCACCCCGGACGCGTCGTCGTTCTGGCGCGTCGTGGCCGAGTACCGCGTCAACGCCCTCTTCACGGCCCCCACCGCCCTCAGGGCCATACGCCGCGACGACCCGCGCAACGAGCACATCGCGCGCGTCGGCGAGCGGGGCGGCCTGCGCTCCCTGAGGGCCCTCTTCCTCGCCGGCGAGCGCTCCGAGCCCACCCTCGTGTCCATGTACCAGGGCCTGCTGGACCGTTACGCCGCCCCGGACGCCCACGTCGTCGACAACTGGTGGTCCACCGAGTCCGGGTCGCCCATCACGGGGAGGGCCCTCGCGCCTCACGCGGGGAGGGACCGCGCCTCTGACGTCCGCCACGGGACCCACCCGCCTCCGCCGCTGCGGCCGGGGAGCGCGGGGAAGCCCATGCCGGGATTCGACGTGCGCGTCGTGGACGACCGGGGGGACGAGCTCGAGAGGGGCTCCATGGGGAACATCGTCCTCGCCATGCCGCTGCCGCCCACGGCCTTCCGCACCCTCTGGCAGGAGCACGATCGATTCTTTGCGGGCTACCTGCGGAGGTTCGGTGGCCGGTGGCTGGATACCGGTGATGCCGGCATGGTCGACCAGGACGGCTATCTGCACATAATGAGTCGGAATGATGATGTGCTCAACGTGAGCGCTCATCGATTGTCAAGTGGTCAGCTCTCCTTTTCTTTCTTTCTTTCTTCCTTCCCCTCTTCCTTTCCTCCCTCTTGACCTCTTGAATCTCCGTCCCCACCCCCAATCCGGTTCTTGCTTCTTGCTGCCTTCTATTCGTGAGCACTAACACCTTCCCCCTCCCCTCCCCCCTCCCCCCCACAAAAAGGCAACATTGAGCAAGCCATCGCTTCCCACCCCCTCGTAGTAGAATGCTGTGTCGTCGGCATCCCCGACCCGATAAAGGGTCAGCTCCCGTTCGCCTTCGTGACGCTCTCGTCCGACCCGCACCCGCCGTCCCCCCTGCCGACCGAGAAGCTCTCGGGTGAGATACAGTCCCTAGTGCGCAGCCAGGTCGGCGCCATAGCCTCGCTGGGCGGCATCATCCAGGGTAGAGGGATGATACCCCGGACCAGGTCGGGAAAAACGCTGCGCCGCGTGCTGCGCGAGATGCTGGAGAATGCGGCGCGTGGGGAGCCGGAGAAGCCGGTCACGGTGCCGAGCACCGTCGAGGACGCCGCCGTCGTCGAGGTCGCGAGGGAAAAGGTCGGCGAGTACTTTCTTCAGAGAGGGGCGGTGCACGCTGCGCCAAAGCTGTAGTGCGTTTTATGTACTTGTTTGTTTCTCGTGAGAGTTGGGGTGGATTCTATATATACCGTGTGCTCGTTTCTAATGTATGCGCACGCGCGCGTATGTTGTGTGTGTGCTGATTACCATCCCTGATGGAACATTACTTCTTGGTACATACGTCGTATACGCTTCCCTGTGTCCTCGGGGCAATCTTTGTGGTGGCGAATCTCGCCTCTGGTAACCTCTTGCCTGCGGCTATACTCTCGAGGATCCTGGAGTATTATATATATATATATATATTGGTTAGATGTAATAGGGAATAGAGAGAGAGAGAGAGAGAGAGAGGCTCACCACTCGACACCAACATATTTTACACCGCTCCCCGCCATCCGCGCTATCTCCCTCTGCATCTTGCCGCCAGCCAACCCACCGCCGAATCCGCGAGCCCCGGACGGCGACGACGAGGACGACGAGGACGATGCATTGTTCGGCCGTCCGAGGACAACATGCGTGACTGTACGTCTGCCCAGGTGCAGGGAAAGACGACCGCCGTTCTCGGCGAGGAGGTGCTTGAGTCGGTGGTCCGATATGAGGGGGTATGTGCTCCCGTTGACATAGACGACCACACCCGAGAAGATGGCTTTGTCGGCGCTCGGCGTCGGTGATGTTCCATCAGCAGCAGGAGTAGCAGCAGCAGTGGCAGCACCTCCCAGTCCCTCGGTCTCTGGCTGTCGCATGGACCCGGGCCTGACGAGCATATCAGCCACACTCCTCCTGCTGCCGCTCCCGACGTGGCGAGATCCCGGTTCCCGTGCATCGCTCAGACGTGGACCGCCGGACGGGCCAAGGTGGAACTGGCCGTTCACCTTGGCGTTTCGGGAGGCGCGCCATGCAGTGCTGGATCCGGGCTGGCGGTCTGCGCGCTGGTGACCTGTCGATGACGAGTTCCACGGGTCAAAGACTTTGGACAGACGGGAGGAGGGGGCTGCCCTGGAGGGTGCTGGTTCTCCCATTCTCTGCTTGACGGTTTTTCTCTTCGAGCTTGTGCATTACAGTGACGTTTTACTGGGTTATATGTATCTGTGTATATATTACGTATAAGAATTTTTTTTTAAAAAAAAAAAAAATCAAAAAGAAGAAGAGGGTTCTAACCCGGTTTTCCGATTCTAGCGTCGAGGAAACAAGATCTGGTCTGCCACGCATTTGTGACGCCAAAACACGTGAATCGGTGGCTACTCTTGTTGTTTACCCTGCATTTTTTACATCAAACCTGGAATGTTCGATCTTCAAGGTTCACGTTGAGCATCATTCAACATCAACATCTACCCATTTACTCCATAATACTGTGCACAAACATCACCCTCTATGCAGCGATTCGCATGCGTCAAATGCCCTCTCATGCTTCTGCTTCAAGCTCTGTGCGTCCTCGCGTACCTGCAGCCAGCAAACAACCCAACCCCCCCCCCCCC